TCTTGGTAAAAACTCACTCACAATCCTCTCCACTAAACTAATTCGATTTTTTTGTTGCAGCGTTTGGCCCAAACTAGCGAAAGATTAGTCAATTTCAAGGCTCGTCTTGTAACATCTCTCATCTAAACAAATTACAACGCCATCGTAATTTAATCCACCTCGCTCATGCAAACACCTTCACGCATTGTTACCACTATTGTAAAAAACAAGCATGGAGCTCTCATTATTATAAATTAATTTATCAGTTTCTATTTTTGTTATTTTTTATTTAAATTTTTGTATATAGTGATAACTTTCCTTTCGCTATTCTTTTAACGCATTCATTGTGGTCATCTTGCCATTTCTCCTTTAAAATTTGTTATTCTTTTTTCTTCTTCTTTATTAGCTTTAAACTCTAGGGTAAGTCTTTCTGTTAAATTTAGCTTCGCATTATAAATTACCAGATGTATATAACCTGAACAATTGCTCAGTTTGAACTTACTACATGAAAATGTAAATAGAAATTTCTTCATCATGGTGTAGATATCTATTTTGTGTCTTTTATGTAAGTAGTGTACATAATTGCTATAAAAGGAAAAACAGGTTTAAAAATTTTGATTTTTTATGAAAGTTACTGTATGTTGTATTTTTTATAGTAATTATATTAAAAATACAAAATTCTTAAAAAATGTCAGTCTATTTATTAGTTTGAGTGAAACTAAGTCATCATCATCAATATGTGGTTCTTATTCACTATTTAGTCTTAGTAGTATAATTAAATAAAATGAACACTAGCTTTGTATTAGGTACTTAATTGCTTTATTCCATATCAAAAGCTACAATATATTATATCATAAATACAATAAAAAATGTCATTAGTCTAAAATAATAACTTTGGTACTTAATTTCTTATAAACTAGAAAACTTAATGAATAAAAACATTGTCGGGTCTTAAAAAAATTTCACCGCAGAGTTAAATCACTAAAAATTACTCAGTCTGTAATTAAGTACTGCCAGTGCTGCTGCTAAACCAAATTCGGATACATAAGTGCTTTGGTAGGATTACCTAAACTATCCTAAATTAACTATACAAAATGAAACATTTATACATAATCCCTTTAGTTACACACATAACATTGAAGCTGTACACAAACCACCAATCAAGTTTTTTTTATACAAATTGCACAGAAACTTGAAATTGGCGTCTGAATATAATACTGAGGCTAAGTATGAAATTTAAGCTACATTAATTTGGCACGCGGTCTTTTTAAAAATATATAGTTTACAAAAATTGCAGTGTTGCACTCTGATTTAACTGTCATGGAATGAGTGAAGCTTTCACTTGAAAACACAGATCTTAAACGGCTGAATGTTTACCTATTATTTCACCCGATTTTGAGTAGACGTGTTTGCCGTCGAATTCCACGGACATGGCTTTTTCTCCTCCGTTCATGTGGGTGTCCTTCAGAGGCTCACGCTCTTCCTCCCTAGGGAACAATAGTAATTGAGAAAAAGACACGAGGAAGGTAAAATCATGCTGTTACAGCTGGAGTTTGACAAGATTAGATAGGTATTTGGCGCAAATTGAGCAGATTCCAGGGCGAATAAAAATTGAAAACGCACAGAAAATACAGAACTTTTTAACAATCAACTCAAAAAAGCCTTAGGTTTGAAATTATTTTAAAACACTGAAAGGCAAAACTATTAGATTCATTAAATTTAATATCTTAACTGTTTTGACCAGTCTTACTAAAGCTGCAACATATGTTAATAAAAATTGGATGAAAAGTGGTTTTTTTTTGATGTTTTGATGTTTTTTTATGTTTCCATGATCATCTTTCATAAAAATGTAATAAATGTTTAAATCAAAGAAAAGAAAAATCCGATTAAAATGACCCCAAACAAAATTCAAATTAAAATTTGCAAAAAAAATGTAACTTTAAAAATTTCAAAAACTAATCTAACAGGAAAAATATTTCTATGGTAAAAACACAAAAAGTAGATTGTAACCTCTCGATTTGTCTAAAATCTAAAAATTACAAAATTTTGAAATTCTAAGTTACAAAAATTTTAAGTTAGAAATTCAAATTTCCAAAACTTCAGTCGCCGAATAAGTTGTAATTTGTAATGTATAATCCGGAACAGAATAATTTCAGGTCACAAAAAAGATGCCGTTTTACCTATTTTTCGCATATAACGAGAAAAAATTACGTCTTACAAAATAAATAATTTTGTACAAAATTAAAGCTTATAACATTTTATACAAAATAGTGTTCTCGGGTTTTTTGTATCTCAAATAGTTTTCGAGATATCCGGTAGTTTATATCACAGTTTCGAAAAAACTATTAATGAATTAACGTAAGAATTTTAGTAAATATTGAAAGCATTTTGATTGGACACTTTAAGATCGGCTATTAAAATAATGTAAAAAGCCAATCACTTTAGATTTTTAAATTCATTCAAATATTTAAGATAATGATGTGATTGGTCCATTTGAGGTAGGCCATTATGATAATTTGAGTAGCCATGGAGACACCAATCACTTTAAATTTTATACATTCATTGAAAAATGTTGGCGAAATTGGTTAAAAACAGAAATGCAAGAAATATTAGTGTTTTAACCATCCTGTATGTTTACAAACAGTACATACAAAATTGGCGACGAAGATAGTGAATTTATAAGTGTAAATTATTTTCGAATCTGATCATTTTCATGTAAGAAATAAAACATAACCTCAGGAAGGTAAGAATAAGGAAGAATAAGAAAAGACTGTTGTCTACAAGCTGCAGAGGCCTACAGTACAATTTGCAATTCAGCCTGTTACAAGTTTTAGGGCCGGCCCTAAAATAAATATTTCTAATTGATTAAAAAAACTTGTTGCTAGTGTAAACGATAGACTTTAATTTAGTACTTTGATACTGTTCAAAATTTTTAGTGTATGTCAGTGGGAGCCTAAAAACCAAATTTGGAAAAATATTTTTTGAAATCTTTTCTACATGATAAAATTCCTTGATTTTTTCTAATGAAAATTGAATAATGTAAAAGTTGATAGATTTTGAGTAATTAACATTTTAATATTGAAAATTAAAAATTTAATTTATGGCCAAGTTTGGGATGATGTGCTGCACAATAGAGCTCGGGTACGTCATAAATGTCATTTTGGACCTTTTTCTTTTGTTAAGAAATTCTGGCCTGATCACCAATTACCACAAACCCAACCATAAATTATTGGAAAATTTCAGATTTTCAATATTAAAATGTTAGTTACTCAAAACCTATCAACTTTTGCAATATTCTATTTTCGCAATAATTACTAGAAAAAAATCAAGGAATTTTTTCATGTAGAAATTATTCCAATTAAGTGATATTTTTTCCCAAATTTGGTTTTTATGATCTCACTGCCATAGGCTAAAAATTCTGAATAATATCAAAGCACTAAATTGAAGTTTACATAATCCTCTATCATTTGCACTAGCAAAAATTTTTTAAATCAATTATAAATAATTATTTTTGGGCCGGCCCTAAAACTTAGGGCAGGCTGTATACAACCAACATTCCGTCACAATCACTTTTGCTGTAGATTTAAGAACAATGATACAAAGTGAAATAAAAAATGTCTTTTTAAAATGTGCGAATACCCCAAAAACTATTTAAGATACAAAAAACCGAAAAGACTGTCTTGTAGGAAATTTTGCGACCTATGCTGCTTTTAACTTATTGTTTTGGACGGTTCTTACATTTTTGTTTACTGAAATTGTTTACTGAAATTGTACTCGCATTGGTCGAATTTTTGTATTTTCTCATATTAAAATGTGAAACAAATATAAATAAGTACTTATTAGATGCTATAATATTTATTTTAAATAAAGTGAATTTTATGTTAGTTTATTATAAACTGACTTTTAAGGTTGAGTTGTGAAAGGGTGGTACAGCTTGATACACATCAGGATATCACAACCCCTCAAACGCAACCCTGAAATCAAAAATTTTGTTCTACAACTTATTTTTGTGCCTTCATTGACTGCACTAATATAATTATCTACATATTATTTTCAACTTCCGACTTACAAAAATAATAAAAATTTGGTCATTGCTTTTTCTTATAAACGCCTCGTTTTTAAATCAGTCTATTTTGTGAAAGTGTGAGTTTATTTATTTTTACTTCCTGACGATAAAAAGGCTTTAACAATTCTCCACGTTCAATCTCCATTGTTTTTCTATACACAATGAGCTCAAATTTACGTAATTTAAAAACAATACATGATTTTTTTATTCGACTTGTAATCTGTTGAATTATTATAATACACAAATGCGATACAAAGAGCGAGAATAACCACTATGAGCATCGCGTCCTTCCCACTTATGTTAGTCGTCTGCAACTCAAAATTACGAAGCATAACTGTACAAAAAATTATCTCGTTTGTAGCCACGTCGACAATAATAACAGCATGCTTTTGCATAAACCACAACATCCATGCAATGAGGCATGCAACCAACCATCAGATCCTTACATTGGTGATGGTGCCAATTTGACAGGTAGGGGCAGGTTGAGACTGTTGGGATGCGCCGGGGCAGCTTTGTAACTGCAATAAGGCAGCGGAAATCGCCAACTGTATAGACTAAAATTTCCAACGAATGTATAATGTGATGTGTGATAGGGAAAAAATGTAAAAAACGTCACAAAAGCATGTGTTATTACGGGAAACAACAAGCAATCATTTATGTACAGATGTCGAAAATCGTGTCATTGAAAATTCATCCAATAAATAAAGAATGAGCATACCTGCCGAGTTTTGGATCCTCTTCGTGGTGCTTCGATCGGTTTCGATCGCAGATAAACGCGAGAATTCCCGCTCGGTTCACGAAAAAACAGATTAAGTCGACGAGAATTAGCACTAGAATGACTGCTCCAACCACGATGCCAATTATAGCAAAGTTAGTGACTGAAGGTTCGTTGTAGGGCACTGCAGGGTCGATGCCTAGTAAACAAATCACAATCAAAATCACAAAGTTGATGAGAGTTTTTGTTTTAAGCGTATTTAGTTTGGTTAGTTGTGATTTAAAAATGTGACCATCAGTCACATTTTTAATAAATTGAGCGCATTTTTGTGAAGTGTGTTGTCTTCCACCATGTCTACTATTCTAAAAACAGCTCATGCCGGTTTCTAACAAAAACTGCTTAAAAATTATTAAACTCTGAAAGTTGGAAATAAGACGAATAAAATAAAATTGGGGGTTTATACATAATCCGTTTTTATTGTGTGATTGTTAGTATATTACACACTTAATGAAACCTAGAAGCATGCAAAGCAAGATTAAGAAGCGGGTCAGATCTACAAAACAAAATGGTGGCTAATTAATGACCTCCATTTTGTCCTTCAAGTCCAGTTAAGATAACAAGAAGCTACGTACATTTCCGTCAAGTCGTTTTTGTCCCTTGTCGTTTAAACACATGAAAAGCCACTTTCAAAATCACTTCACAAAAGCACAACTTAAAAAAATACAAACTACAGTTTAACTCAAACAAATGTATTTTAGACAATTTTATTGATATAAATTGACATGTTTTTTAAATTATTCTATTACAATGAGATTGATTTTTTTCGTTGATGACTTAAATTTATTGTCCAATTGCGACAAAACAAAAAATAACTACAACATAACTTGAAAGTTTTTAGACTTGATACAAATAAAAAAAAATACCAACAACAATGAAATCTAAAAACTTTTAAGTACAAAAACATGCATACATGCAGATATTGATCTAAGTCTGGCAGAAATACATACACAACGCAAGAGAGGTCTGTTGTAGCTATGGCCGTCAGTCTTAAATTTCGACACATTAAATCCTTTGAATATCAACAATAAAATAAATTTTCTCAACTACCACAAACGACTCTGCGTAATTTTTGGTATTCGTAAAATTCGATTCAGAAACAAGTAGTACTACCTATACAATTTTATTTTAATTGGCAGTACGGGATGGTTAACAACTTAGTAATTCAACAATTTTAAATCATGCGCATCCAATTCTCGCAACATTCACACTCGACTACGAGCAAATCAAGGAAAACTGTTAGTAAAGGTGAGAAATGAAGCTCAATAAAAACGGATATGACATTCAAAGCTGCATCTTCGAGAAAAATATTAAAATAAAAATGTCAAGCATGCTTGGTCTACTAAAAGTCAACAATAACAACGCGTTGGAATGTTTAAAATCATGCGAAAGAAGCAATTTCTATTAATCTATTTTACAATAATGAAAACGAAACACCCAATTGTTCCAAGCAACGATGTGTGATTAATACCATTTAATATTTACAGAATTTATCGATTGGGAACACATTTAATTTCATTAAAACCCCTGTAGTGAAAGAGTCAACTTTTCCTATTTAGCACCGATTCGTGTAAAACGCACAAAACACTACGATTACAGTCATTGAAGCCTGTAGAGGGATATAGAAAGATGCACTTGAAGTCGAGCTCCCATAAAAAACACCTGGAGGGAGGGTATTGTTAAAAAGATAATACGCACACACACGCCACAAAATAATAAAAACACTAATTCAGTTTTTATTATTTTGCACGGAGACACACAACAAAATTTCAAAACAACCTAATAAAAAACATAAATGAAATTAATTCGAGACTTATTGTTACACTAATTGTCGCGGAATTGAATTCGGTACTGTAACTATAATAGTATTCCCGACTCTCACCTCTGGCTGTTTTCACTTTGATTTGAGCCGGTGAACTTGAACCTATTGAGTTGTGAGCACGCAATTCGATTTTGTAGATGGTATCAGGTTTCAAAGAATTTAAATCATAGGTGGTGGATTTGAACGTCTGCTGGATCTCTTCGCTACAGTCGCTGTCGCGCCACTCGCCGTTTATTTTCGTTATCTGCAAATGTTGCGAAAATTTACTCAAATGAAGCCAAACAATGTTTTGTGGTTTGATGCTTTTACAATGTTTTACAACCCAGGCGAAACATTATTATCAATTGAATTCTTTTTTCACTATTTCCCTCACAAAATTTAAGCCAATAGTGTGCTAAATTATCGCGAATCTGGATGAATCTCAGAAATTTGAAAGATTTGATTTAATTTCTCATAATAAAAAGATTGCATGATTCTAATTGTGTTGTTTTGTTGCTAAATTATCGACAATCTAAATTTGGCATGCATTCGAGATATTACTATTGATAATTATACAGAATGCGCCACAACTCGCGCCCTAGAAAAAAATACCATGTAAGGTAAGACACCAGGAACACGGAAAAAATGTTAAAAAAATTATATCTATAAAAATTTCGAAGTTATGATATAGTAACTCTGTTTAATGTCATTTGTGGCTTTTATTGTCAAAATTTTTGTACCTTTACTCAATAATTATAAAAAAAACATATACAAAAGCTTCAGTATCTTTAAATAGACATAAATCTTAAAAAATAATATCAAAATTTTTTGACAGAAAATATTTTTTTTTATGTTCCTGGTATCTTATCTTACTTGAAATTTTTCTCTGGGTCGCGAGTTCTGACACACCCTGTATAATTTTTAAATCAATTTTTATCAAAATTTTCATAGTAGGCATCAAAATTCTTATACCTTGTATGTCTCAAAAATGTAAATAATCATTGCTATACTCTGTAAACTAATAGATTTTACTTTTTTGACATCTTGGTGAAAAACTCTATAACAAGAAAAGTACAAGAATCGCTATGCTAAAATTTGTAAATTGCAGTAATTTGAAACATGTTGCGTTGGTATCGCGATACGTCTGGATATTCCTACGCGGACAGTGTTTTGACAGAATTTTGCCACTTCTTTATTGTAAAATTTTTAAAATAGTTAATGAAGAAATTGATTTATTTTATTTGTTATATTCCATTAATACTTTCTTTCTTCAAGACTTTCCTGCGAAATTTCAAAAGTACTACTTTCTGGGCGGAGGATGTCGGCAACCTAGTTACTTTTCTGTCATATTCTATCATTATACGGGGTATTTCACGAGTGATTACGGAATTGAAAATACAACTCACAATACATTTGCAAAGTTAACGTGGATATTTTATATATCGCATTGTTTGAAAAACTGATTATGAATCCACGATAGGTTTGCTTCCAATAATTTTATTTGTCACAACTGACATTAAATTTAGCAAAAAGTCAAAATGAATTCGAACGGTGAGAAAACAGATCTGATTTTCATTTATGGCGAATTTGGGAAAAATGCTTCTGCCGTTGAGCCTTTCTAAAAACAATGTTTCCTGAATAAAAAAGCTCCAAAAAGTCTTCAATCACTAAAGTGTTTTTCAATGGTACAGTTGGAGACAAAATACTTTGGTCGTCAATGTCACTTGAATGACATTAAATTGTAAAGCATGCTTTAGGATTGTTAACCTTATTTTTAGCTACTGTCATAATTGATAAGTTGTATGTACATATTTTTGATAGGAAAATATAATAGTTGTCATTAATTTGAAATTGTCATTCATTTTAAGTTGAAACTTGAATTATATTAAAGTGTCACAAAAGTGAGGACCAAAGTATTTTGTCTCCAACTGTAGATGGACAAATAACTATGTTTTATTAATTTTAAAATTCATAAACAAAATCCGTGAAGCCTAAGCAAATGTATTGCTGGTTGCAGTTCAAATTTGGTCAGGCTCATTATCCCTCGTGAAATACCCTGTATAGACTATACAAAAATTATTTGTAAACATCTCTCCCTTATTTTCTCGCGTTGAATTACGTAACCTCACTTACCACGCAGTATCTTATCAGATAAACATCAATCGGATCCCCATTATCATTCGGTACTTGCCACCTCAACTCGAAATGATCGGCATACGGACTCACAGCAATCACATCCTGTCTATTACTGCTATTATCCAAAATATGATTAGGTACGTAGATTTTAGGCTCCGCCGGTTCCGACCTCCTAGGCATCGTCACCTGTGGCACATTCCGCCATGGCCCGAAGCCCACATCATTCGCTGCCGCAAACCGAAGACTGTATGTCACTTCCGGTGCCAAATTCTCCAAAATATAAGGCGCACCAAAACTCCAAGTTCTATTCCTGGCATACGACCAACCAATTTCGCCTTCGGGCTTATACTGGACTGTGAACGATCGAATTGGGAGAGTGTCAAAGTACTGAGGTGGTACAATATTGAATTTGATGGTAGTGGCAGTGAGAGTTTGAATCCGGACTTGATCCACCACTTCCGGAATTTTGGCTTCCTTCAGTTGGATCCAGTGAGACGCTTTTCCGTGTTTGTTGGTCGCTAGACACTCATACTGGCCGTAAAAACGCGGATTGTTGAATGCATCAACGATGAGGTGGTAGGCTGGTCCAAACGCCTCCAATTTGAAAGGGGGAGTACCGGAATCAATGATGTAACCGTTATGTTTCCATACCACTGTGGCATTGGGAATGGCTTCAGGGATGCAAGTAAGATTCCCAGGATGGTTGTGCCAAGTCCAAGCGATGGGTTCCAGAACTTTAGTCCGAGCGAAAGTCGGGGGAAATTCGACAGCGATATGGCCATTCTTGTAACTAGTACCAGCACTGTTCTCGGCTATACACTCGTACAACCCATCGTCAGTCCTGTTCAGATTACTTATGATAAGTGTCCCATAAGTCTCCCCAGTTTTGTCAATCATCTGTTCCTCCAAAATAATCCGAGAATCTCTCTGTTGTCCCACTCGAAATGGGTGTTCCTTATCGCTTAATTTCCGGAAATATACTTTGGGTGTAGGACGCCCACGCGCTTTGCAAATGATTTTAGTTTCTTGCTTCACAGGAGCAGTAACGTTAAGCAATTCGTAGATTTTAGGTTTGACCATAACGTTGATTTTGACTGTTTTTTCCACACGTCCAGCTTTGTTCTCGGCTGTACACTTGTAAAAATCATCATCGTTGAATTCAACTTTGCTTATCAAAAGATTTCCAGTGGTTTGTTTGACGGTGAAACGGTCACTTTTTGATAAATCTTCACTATTCCTTTGCTTGATCCAACTGTAGATTGGGGGCGGTTTTCCAGTGGCTTCACACTTGGTCCAGGCTTGTTCTCCTTCAATTACCGAAACCGGAGCCATATCTTTGATCACCGGAGGAATAATTACTTCCAACTAAAAAATCAAACATTAGAAGACAAAATATGCCTAAAAACACACAATTTACCTTAATAACTCTCTCTTTAAGGCCACCAGTTATCACGGTATACGCTCGACAAGTGTAGCTTCCATCGTCTGCTTCTACGGGATTTTTTATTAACAAACCATCACTTTGTATGACATATTTTTCGTTTGATTCAATCTTCTTGTCTTTCTTTGACCACTCAACGTTTGGTGTTGGGTTCCCATGGACTTTACATTTAACAAGGTAGTCTTCTCCAACTTTGGGGTATTGAGATTCAGGTGCGTCCACAAATGTTATATCAACTAAAAATAAATATTAAGTTTACTGACAACTTAGACTCGTAAAAATCACCATAAGTGTTCACCACAACAGTTGATTTTAATGTTTCACTACCATAATTAGCAAAACATGTATAATTGCCCGCATCTCGTTCTTGTAAATCTTGGAAGAAGAGGATTAGATCACGACCGTTGCTCTGAAAAGTAAAAAATACATCTGAGTGATGGGTCGAGGCGAATTCTTTTGGATAAATCATTAATTTCCTGTTTTTAATCGCTTCGATTGTATCGCGCTTTTCCGCTAGTTTTCTTTTACGAACTTTTCATTTAAAAGTTTTGAATTAAACTTTTTTCTTTTATCGATTAAACTTTAAAACGGTTTTTTCTTAGGATTAATGAAATTGACAATACACTTGGCTCAAAATTTCAGCTCGACGTATTTAATTAATGACAAAAAGTGAACTAAGAAACGAAATTACTTTGAGAGATGAGATATTTGTTCCACTTTACATCTTGTTTTTAATTGTCTGTTTTCCTGTGGGATCCTTGGTTTACTCTAATTACGTAATGCAAATTGGACTATGGTAAATATTACTTATAATAAATTAACTTAATTTAAAATAACACACTTTCAAGAGAAGTTATTGAATCGTTTCATCAGGTAATGAACTATAAACTCCTCTTTGGCTGGAAATTCGACGTAATTTTCAATCAACATTATACTTGCAAATCAACCCTTGTTAATTACTCCCGACAATTCACTGCGAGGTAAATGTGCTACTTGTTTGGAAAAACAAATCAGTCAATTTAAACGTAATTTAAAATTGGTCTAATTCCAAATTGTCATTTAGTACATTTTTTATTTCTGATCATAGATGATTCCACAAAATTCACAACAAAACAACGTCAAACAAATTAATCAATAAAAGCAAATCCCTGACTTGTTGCACATTGATTTGTTTCATAAATTTAGTTGCAATTTTAACAGAAATTCTTTGAATATGACATTAATAGCTTGCTAATTAACTACAATCACCATAAAAAAATAAAAAATCTACTTTATTTTTTGTTTACATCTGCGATGTTACAGTTATAAAGTTTACAACAAATTTTCTTTTTCGGTGTTAGTGATCAAAAAGTTTCAAAACCCGATAAATTTAAAAATATCCGAAAAATCATAAAAGGCTAGTTTTTAAATTTAATTGGCAAACAAGTAAAGCACACAAAAAGCGATAATATAAATGAAAATTCTGCTATTGCCCTTTGAACATAAATCTCACAGGAAAGCTTCCCATGTTCTTAGATTAAGCTAAATTTGTTCAATTTCATGGAAATTTTACAATGAAGTTAAAATTATGTGCCTGCTTCTCTACACATTTATTTCAGGTTGGGTGCACAAAAACGGATTTATGTCTGAATTATTCCAAGGATACGTTATATGGGCATTTGATAGACACTTTTGAAACTAAATTCAGAGTCAAACTATGGAAAATAACACCTCTCAAATTTTAATCCTCAGAGCTGAAACATTGCGAGCAGTTGTTGGCACACCAATCAGCAGAACGGATAAAGTATTAGCTTAAGAAGCTTAAAAATTGTGATCACGTCGCGAGATCGACTACTCACCTGTGCAAAAATCTTTTTCCCTATGTGGGTGGACTCTATCCTTCGATTTTTGGAGTCCCTCCATTCCAGTTGCGCGATGAGGTTTGGTTCTTCTACGTCAGGTGCACATGTTAACGCCAACTTGCTTCCAGTTTCTTTCGAAATGACTGCTGTGTTAGGCTGGATGGTCAATTTAGGTTGTCTGTCAGCAAACACCGCTGAAACAATTAATGAACAATGAATAAAAAAGGCCGTTATGTTGCGGAAATCCATTTATTAGCTACGATTCAATCACAAACTAATAAAATGCCAATATCAATTTTATATAGTAACGGGCCATAAACGCCTAAAGTGCACAAGAGCATTAAGGGCAATTGCACATGGAACCCCATAGTGCGACATTTACACATTCCATAAAATATTGCACCGGCTTCGGAGAAACATAAATCTAATGACGAATCTATCAAAAGTGTCACACTTAACATAATAACAACTCAATTAGAAGCCCACTCATGGGCAGACACCCCAATTACTGTGTCTTAAGCCAATCCATCTTAATCAACTTTAATAAGAGTGATGTCATTGATTAATTCAGTATTTTTTACGACAGGTGATTATTAATTATGCTAATAGTCGAATGATTTATAAAGAAAAGTTAACAACATTTAGCAGCCCCTTAATGGGGGTCGCCGTGGGGAAGCTGAAGCAGCACTAAGTAATACGTATAATGGGCCATAAACAACAATTACTCGAGATACATGGAACCCCATAGCACGCTGAAAGTTGCCTGAAAGGAAGGGCAAACACATATGCAATATACTAAAATTTTGTTTAAAAGGAAAATTTCAAAGTCGCACTGTAGCTGCCGGATTTTACAAGCGTCGCATTTAGTTTATTTATTAAATTTACAACAACTTAATTAGCATTAATCCATGAGATTTAATTAAATTGCAGTTAGTACAAGCTTTCAATTAACATTAATGTATTTAGTCAAATCCAAGAGTTCAAAGGTAACGACTTGCTTCAAAATGTCTCGCCTCAGGTTTTTGTGAATACGATGAACTAGATTACTGCTAAAGATGTCAGAGATGAAAAAGAAATGAAATTTCAGTTTGTGAAAAATGTGACTTCAATGCCGACAATCGAATTAGGTCTTTGTGTGAGTGCTTTGTGTCCCAGATTCATTTTGTTGTCAGAAAATTCAATTTTAATTAACAAACAAAATATCGACTGATGCAAACACAAAAAGTAATTACGTTAATTATGTTTAATTGCAATGGCTTTATTCAGACACGTTAATAATCAATCAAAAATCATGGTGGTTGGGTAATAATAGTCTATCTGCGTTATTTTGAATAAATCCATAGCTTATAATTTGTCTTTCAAAATAAATACCAATGTCTGTAACACTCACAAATTTATACATCGGTTTAATATTCATAGATTTGTATACAGGTAATTGTTATTGCTGGTTTTTATAATATGTAAAATGAGTTTATTAGTTTTTTATGTACGTGAGTCAATTTCATGATTGGTTCTTTAATAATAATTGTACAAAAAACTCATACAAGGCACGTGAGCTAAAAATTACTACGAAAAACTAGGGCCTTCATGACGCGTTTCTTTTATTAAGAAATGACAAAATAAATATTTAAAGTACCAATGTTGCATGTTGCTAGATTATTTTTGAAAACAATTTTCAAGCTCTGTCTACTTTCATATTGACGATTATAGTTAATATTTTATTAGCCACTTAAAATAAACTTAAATCTACACGAAAAACGAAAATTCCATGAAGTATTGATAAACGCTCTGTGTAGAACGAATCAGAGCTAAATTATTTTTTTATTGCCTCTCTAAAAATAAAACCCTTTTCATTCTCGATGTAATGAAACAAACGCATTAAATATAATATATTCCTAGAGCTGAAATAAATAAATAATTGTTGTCGAACGAATTTTTTATGTCGTAAAGATTACCACAAATACGAATAAAGCCGGTTTACGAATATTTCAAAGTTCTTTCGATTTTTAAGCTTATATTTATTTTAACGTAATAACTTGGCAATCTACAGCTTTTATTACAGCTTGAAACATTTTTCTTTGTGTATTTACCTTGTTTTCCATGTTATTTCTTTGTTTGTACAAGGTGTGATTTATGTTTTAAAAGGTTTTTCGTTGCCATAAGACAAGTCGAAATTTTGAATAAATTAATGTAAATAAATAAATTGTGACAATGCAAACACCGATGGTGGAAGGTAATATTGTTGAAACGTTAATAATATTGGATGTTGATAAAACGCATTCCACTTTTCACCAAGTGACATTTTACTGTTTTACGACATAAAATAATACAGTTCTCGCATTTGAATTTAAAATTGAAAACACGACATTTTGCCACTTTATGGTTGAACGTGAACCTCAATGTATATTTTTATTTTATTTAGTCCATCAATTCAGTCATAACCCTCCCAAGTCCATGTATTATCACATCATTCCAGGTTGGCTGTCGTGTTTTGTTTGACAAAAAAATTTTCAGGCGATTAAATAGCCCGTTTGATCTGTCGATCAAACGGTGGATCGATAAGGGCTCTAAAAATGCGCAGAGGGAGGTATGCAAGGCTTGCAGCATTGTTCGCAACTTGCATCTTACAAAAAGTTTCCCTCCCTTATTTCACGGTATATGATGCGGAACACCATTAACCTCCCAATATATCACATTGCAAGACATCAAAAATGCAACTTGCGTCGTTCTCGCCTCCTTAAAAATTTTTATGAAACGTAAAAAATAAAGAGACACCTCGCTGTAAGTTAGCTTTTTTGTTGCGTAACAGACGTAAGCCACCCTTGGCAAATCTGTCCGAATGTATAAATTTTGCAGACGATACCATCAATTTCATGGTCTGTTAACTTGTCCAGGACTAGGATGACAAAAAGCCCTAATACATCACGAGTGTAAGGCCTAGTATTCGTCGTTCTATCTCCCTAACTGCAACCACAGTTTATTGCTCCGCTTCATTGTAGAAATTATTGGCTGCAACGGCGAATTTTGCTAACAAAAAAGATAAAAAAATACGGCGTAAACGCAGATAAACTCCTGGTTTTTACAGATACGCGAAAAACGTCCCAACGAATTGTGTTCGCGACACCTAATTATCAAAAACGAGAAGCCAAGCTATTAATGAAGACCAAATTACGAAGACTAATTTACATAAAAGAGCGTTATTACTTTGTTAAAAATGGTGTTTTGTTAGTGTCGGTTGTACTTCGCCATTTATTTCTGTTCCTTTTAAAATTAATGATCTCTTGCTTTTTCTGGACAATATACACGACTTAAATTGCCATAGAAATGAGAACGGGTTGTAATGAAATTGCAAGAGCTTGAGTTATTTGCATTCTTCGCTAGCAAAATTTTTTATTCAAGCTTTCAAAATATCAAAGACTTAATCCCAACAGCTCGAATGGAATTTCAACGGTCAAATGTATTAATATGCATTAGACAAACATTTTTAATTACAACTTTGAGATGCCAGAAAATAGTGTTTCATAAATTTCTCTATTTTATTATTCCAGTCGGCTATACATAATGGAAACATTTCTCAACATAAATTCAGAGCTCGTTCAAAAATTCAAGATAATGGTTACACATAAATATAGTACATATAGAAACATATCATTTTCAAAAGTTTATTAAAAGTAACAACTTTAAGGCACGAAATAAAACACAATTAACTTTATCGAGATAAATTTTAATCACAATTTCACTAAAGGAAATCATCAAGACTAGTGTTTTTTAATAAAAACTTAAATCAATATCTTGAATACAAATTCAATAAGTACCCATTTCATATTTAAAATACATATTACAAATGTGTGCACCCATTTGTTTAGATATTCAATATTGCCAACTCACGATAATAATTTTTTATCATCCGGTAGACAAAAATTAGTTTTCTCATATTTTTTAATTTTAAAATTACAAAAAATGTCTAAAATCTGTGATAAAACTGTACACATAAAAACACCCAGTATTTTATAAAACAGTGAACAATAAGCAAAATTATGCTTATTTACGACGAAAATTACTAAATTTAGAAGTTTTTTAATTAAATGTTATACACGGTGTTCCTGAAATAAAAAAAAACAAGCATAGTTGGCCCAAGAAGCATAATTATGACTCAAAAAATATAGAAACAACTCTAAAACTGCATAAATGATTAATCAAAAAAAAAATGCTTTTTATATAGTGTGTCCTAAAATCTGTATACATAAAAAACAGCCCTGTATAAGCAAAACTATGACTATTTACCATGAAAACTACTAAATTTTCATCAATCATTCGTGAATTTAGAAGTTTTAGAAGAGAAAATAAGGAAGCTGTATCCTAAATTGTAACTCTGTTTAATGTTATTTGTGGCTTTTATTGGCCAAATTTTTGTACCTTTACTAAATAATTATAAAAAAAAACATATACAAGATCATCAGTATCATTAAATAACCATAAAAAAATGTCAAAAAATAAATCAAAATTTTTTGACAGATAAAAAATGTTAAAAACATTGTTAAAACATTTTTTTTCATGTTAGGTATCTTATCTTTCTTGAATTTTTTCACGTGTTCTGACACACCCTGTATAGTAAATATAGAAACATATAATTTTCAGAAGTTTATTAAAAGTAACTCTACTTTCTTAAAGCCCGAAATAAAACACAATAAACTTTATCGAGATAAATTTTAATGACAATTTCACTAAAGCAGATCAAGACTAGTGTTTTTTAACAAAAACTAAAATATAAACAAAATCTTGAATACAAATTCAATAAGTATCAATTTCATATTTAAAATACATATTACAAATGTGTGCACCCATTTGTTTAGATTTACGACTCGAACAAACTTGGAATCAATAGTAAAACGTGAAAGAATGAATCTAGGAATACGACCTAAATCCAGATCTGATGTAAACATAAACCATCTGGATATGATTATTAACTGTAATTTAATCCGCCGCTGAACAATAGGGCAAGAAGTGAGAAAACATGTTACGTAACTTTCCTCCTCCTCAGACCCTATTCCAGTATAACATTCCCATTTTTCGTAATTCTGTCGATTTTCTTTTCTGTTATGGTACAATAAAAATAAAAAGTATCGAAATTATTAGCCATTAGAAATATTTCTATGGAATCTAATAAAACGTTATAGTTTCGGTCATCGATAAC